TTTTGTTTCGACTGCGACCCAATAAGTTATGTTTTGAATTGACTCGATATTTTCTAAATTGCTAAGTTCCGTTTGATCGGATTTACCCTTTTCGATCAAATGCAAACACTCTCAATCGCGATATAAATATCTTTAATTCTTTTTTATTGAATGTGCTTATGGAGAAATTACAGCCTGTTTGGTTCTTTTTGTCGATTCTCTCCGTAAGCATTCGGACGAAAAGTACCAAATATCTTCATATTCTATAAGCAGATAAGGTTAGACCAATAATTAGTATGAGATGACTTGCTTGACCAGCCTCCTTCTCAAGTTCTCAACAGCTATTATTAGATTGCATACCCTAGACTGATCCTTCCTCCTATTGTTGGGTGCTCATAGATGATTTGTTTACTGTGAGCCCAATATTATATAGCCCTACTAGCTTTCCAACCTTTTAAATAAATAGGGGAAATTACACAAAACTCCTCCGATTTCGAAGATAATAAACGTCTCTTCCCAAACTTTTAAGTGTTATATATTACCCTCCTGAACTTTTATTTTGTCATAGCAGGTAACCGTTCATTATATTTTCAATTAGCATGGGTAATATATATGACTTTTAAGTTGTAAAACTACATATTCATCTCATTTTTTTAAAAGAAAATCCGTCTTTCACCCTTGATTATCTTTATGACATATGAAAAAATCGGAGAAAAATAAATCAACTAAAATATTTATCATAAAAATAACATCTTTAGTAATATTACAAAAACTAAGATTATTAAAATTTAATATTCAAAGAAATAATAAGATAGTTTAGCAAAAATAAATACAATTAAGTAAAATGAGAAAAAGACCTCCAATAACAAAACAATCAAATTACAAAAATTGGATAATCATTACGTACTAATAAATTGACGAAAAATTATTTATCAATAAAAAATACTAAAAAGTATCCCTTTGAATTGCGATCAATCATTTCCTATTATAATTCTTTAATACTTTTATTAGTCCATTATTCTTTTAACTTAATCAACTCTTTAAATGTATAGAATTAGTAACCCTCTATTTATAAACCATTTTTTCTTCCTTGCGATGGCAAAATCACCTCGTTCCCAACCCCGCCTCTTATGGGGCGGTGCAGGACGAGCCACTGCTCCACGGGGCCGGGACGGGGATCACGGTTGCCATTGTCGTCCCGTCCCGCCTCCATCTATGGTAATATCCTAAAATTTGAGGAGGTTTTTATGTAATTTTCTTAAATAAAGTATAAGCTAGTGTGCTGGCTGATTTAGCTTTGATCCTGAAAATGACAGTTGATTCGACCAATAGTAGGCAATTTCTCATCAATAGACCGGTGACCCGAGCAAAAGAAGTTAGGACACTGCTTTATTTTTAGGAAGAGAAAAGCCATCACTTGACTCTTTTTTTTTTGGGTCCAATTATGATGAAAAATTCCACCTTTATCTAGGCCATGAATGACCCTGTCCCAGAAATCGCACGCAATTAGTTCTGACGATGTGCAATCATTACATGATTATTTCTTAGGTCTCGAAATAAATTAACAAAAAATAATCTTTCTTTCAATGATGTATCATTAGATACATTAAGCACCCTATTAAATTCAATTATTACAGTAATTGCCAATCTCGCGCACTCTACGTAATTACTATTAAAGCCGCTCATTTACGAAATTTAATTTTCTTTCACCTAACAATTTAAACTTTTGGATGAACATTCTAATACGATATTAGAGTGAGGTTCCATCATCGAATTTATTCTGCAGGTGAGACTCTCCATTCATCAATCTCATGTGCCACTCTCAGTTCGATTTGCACGCGAGGGGTGCTAAAACTCAAGAGCGGATGTTACAGTGTCCCACATTAATTGTGTAGCAAACCCTATGTTTATGGCAAATGTTTTCCTGACTTTTTTTTGGGCCGAAAAATACATTTCCCACTTGAACAATCTCTGAAATTAATTAACCCAAAAAATCTCATCTTTATGTCCTTTTCGGACAAAAAGTCAAGAAGTACTCTTTGCATGAATATTGAAAGATAAATGTCACCAACCATAAACGGAAATTCATCCACATATGATGCAATGATTTTTGTGTTTTCCTATTCTTCTGTCTCGTTGTATTAAGTTTTTTGGGGGGTCGAATCCTTTTTTGCTGTTGAGTGTCGACATAAATGAACACAATCTGCTTTCTATGTCACGGCCGGGATAAAGTTAGGTGGAACACGTCATGTTATGATCATGAACCGTTAACCTTAGAATCATGTCCACATGCTGAATTTCCCAAGCAACGGGCAATTCCTCATGTCCACAATATTGCTGAAATCAGACAAGATATGATCTGATCGGATTAAAGAATCAAAGAGTAGAAAAAAAATTGGCTAAAATTTTTTAGAAGATTAGGTACCCGATTGAATGTATTAAATCGACATTCAAACTAGGCCGTGAGCGAGTCGGTATAGTGCCGAGCGTGAGCTCCTCGAACTTGACTCAAACCCGAGTAGGATTAATATTTCTTTAAGGGAAAATGACACAGATGGTCCCTGAACTTTGGCCCAATGTCCAATATGGTGCATAAATTTTTAATTTATTTAATGTGGTTCCTAAACTTTAGCCTTATGTGCAATTTCGTTCCCGAACTTTCAATTTGTTGAATGTGATCCTTGAACTTTTGATACATGTTCAATTTAGTCCCCATATTATATAAAAATATTTAATATTATTCATGAACTTGAATTAATAGAAAGATGTCATCGAATAATTTCATACAGTCGAATGGCTAACTTGAATATGTAGCAAAAGTCTAGGGACCACATTAAACAAGTTCAGGAACAACATTGTACACTGGGCTAAAATTCAAAGACTATATTGAATAAATTGAAAGTTCATGGATCACATTGCACATTGAGTCAAAGTTCAGAGTCTATTTGTATCATTATGCTTTTTTTTTTAATTGAGCTTGTATATGTGGCTATGCTATGTCGTTTCAAAAAATCTTTGCATTTATTTGTATAAATTATTTTTTCTTAAAGAAATAGTAGAAGGTGGATTAATCGAGCTTGTCCAGCTGAGTATTGACCTAGCTTGAACTTGACCACCAGAATAGCTTAGCTCAAGCTTGACACAAAATCACACTAGCAAGTTCATACTTCTAAGAGCCGTGAAATTTTCCATGCTCATTAGTAACAATTGACAACTATGTTGACCAAAACCTAGAACTAATCGCAAGAGAAGTAGGGCAGCTTGTTTGGGCCGCTGAAAAAGAAAAAAAGCAACCTCGTCGAGTTTTCCGCCAAAATTTAAAATATTACAAAAATTCACAAAACTATAAAAACATTAAACGTGACTTTATGTGCCAACATTTCGTATAGAGTTTCAAGTGCTTCAGATAAAAAAAAATATTAAACCGCATGAACACAAAGGCTGCGCATGACAACGATTTTGTGCCCGGGAACAGATTCTGCTCAGAAAATGATTCTTTTTTATTCTGTGCCGGGAATTGATTCTGAGCATTTTAAGGCGTTTAAGCATACAAATAAAAGAAAGCACCAAACTCCCCAAAGCGGGCATAACTGGTAGAGATCTTGGAGAATTCTAGCTCGAGATATGGAAGTCGTTAGGGGTGATCGGTTCCCGGTCGGGTCCAGTTCCACCGGTTCCCAATTTTGGGAACCGTGGACCGGACCGTTTGGTCCTAGGATCGAGAACCGGACCGGACCGTCGGTTCGGTCCGGTCCAATAGAACCGGTCACTTAGGATTTAGTTTTTTTTTTGGTCAAATACTTAGGATTTAGTTCACATTTTACTAATTTTTATCAATGAATTTATATCAATGAAGTTCACTTAGAGTTTAGTTCACATTTTACTAATTTTTATCAAAGAATTTATGTCAATAAAGTTCACTTAGGATTTAGTTTACATTTTATTAATTTTTTTGAAGAAAAAATATGTCGGTCCGGTCCGGTCCGGTCCGGTTCCCCCTTGGAACCGGGAACCAGACCGCCCGGACACCGGTTCCACTTTTAGGAATCGGGAACCGGACCGGCACCCCTTAGAACCGCCCAAATAGTGTCGGTCCGGTCCGGTCCGGTCCGGGCGGTTCCCGGTTCGGGCGGTTCCGTTTGCACACTCCTAGAAGTCGCTAGTTCAAACTCGCCGATTTCATCTCAACCATTTCAATCAAGGGCGCTCGCGCCCATTAAAACCCGGGGCTTCACCAGGTCCACAGGGCTCGCGAGATGCTCCTCGAGTCTCCCCCATCCAAAGATCACAAAAAAAAAAAAAAGAAATTCGAAAGATACAAAAATAGGAAGCACTGAAGAGCAGTAGAACTAGCCAAATCAATCAATCTAACAACAAGTTCTTGGTGACAAACCCTAGGCTCAACCAACTCATGACAACCTATAGGATCCAAGAAGACTCGCTCCACCAAAAGGTCGAATGGCGCAAGCAAGATTTCGAGTTACAGTAGTCACGAGTAGTTAAGGATGGGGGGAGGGGAGGGGACAGGACGAACGACCGAAGCCCCGACCGCACCGCCTTCCTTGGAAAAACAGGAACAGCCGGATCGAATCTTGATCCGATAAGAGGGAACAGGATCAAGATTAGGGCAACCCAGAGGGAGAGCGACCCGTGACTTTTTCGAGCTGTTCTTGACATTTGTTCGTGTGGTCTCGGCCGCCACCACGTCACCGGGCCGCCGCCACGTCAAGAAAATCAAAGAATCCTGCGGCCGTCTCGCCGGCGGCGGGCGCCGTGCGAATCTACGTATGGGCCCTGATCTCGAGGGCTCTGGCGCGACGGCATCTACGCGCGCGCGCGCGCGCATGCATACATACGATAGGATACGATCTTGTCTTTCTTTTCCCTTTTCTTTTTGTTTGGATTTCTTCGAGATTTGTTTATTGATTTGCCGCAATAAATATCAGCTCGCCCTATCCAGCCGCGTTCATCTCATTCTTATCTCTTCCCCACTTGGAAAGAAAAAGAAAAAACAACGCCAGTTTCTCTCTCTATCTTTCTGTAATGGAAGCCCAAGGCTTTCTTCTTCTGCTCTGTGTTTCCGATAATAGCAAATAAGGGAAAAGGGTGTACTCTCTCTGTACCCAGAGAAGCCATAGCTAGGATCTTTATCCCGCGAGACTGTCCAGTACGCAGGATATAGCAAGCCCAGATCTTCCTCTCTTTCGTGCCTAGCGCAGAGAGAGGGGGAGGGAGGGAGAGGGAGGGAGAGCGATTGATGACAAGCAGCCCCGTCCAGATTTGGAAGCCCAAGAGGAGAAGAAGGAGACGGAGGGGCGAAGGTTGATTTGATCTCGTCCGACGCCTTTTCTTGTTTTTTTTTTTCTCTTGTTTCTCCGCCTCTGTTCTTCTGGGTGGTGGTGGTGGGGGTGGGGGTGGTTTTCGGTGGAAGGTCTTTGGGTGTCGAAGCGAGAAGGGACGAGTTTCGAGGTCTGTAATGGAGGTGCTGGTGGGGGGGTCCTCGCTGGGGATCGAGGTGAGCTCGGCGTCGGCGTTCGTGAGGGAGCGCGCCGCGGCCGCGGCGGCGCAGGCGCAGGCCGGGGACGATTCGGGCGCGGGCTTCGGGGCGGGCCGGTCGGGGAAGTCGGAGGAGGACTCGTCGTCGGAGAAGTCGTCGTCGATCGGAGCCCCGGACGATAGCGACGAGGAGGAGGAGGAGGAGGACGGCGCGGTGGTGTCGTCGGAGGATGCCAAGGGAGGCTGCAGGAAAGGCGGCGGGTTCGGATCTTTCGGATCTCTGGCTTCGCTCGAGGACTCGCTTCCCATCAAGTCCGTTCCCTCTCTCTGCAACTCTGTATCTTCTTTCGATTTCTTTCCCTTGACTCGTACCTTATATGATATAGAACTGAAATTTCATGTTAAGATCGCATTTGATTTGGCGAAAAGGGTCGTTTAGAAAGGAAACAAGAGAGACTGATGTGGGTTGTGTTTTTGGTGGGGACGGATGCGTTGGTCGGGAAGCAGGAGGGGGCTGTCGAACCACTTCTCGGGGAAATCGAAGTCGTTCAACAACCTGTCGGAGGCGAACCTGACGGAGGCGGTGGGCAGCAGCAGCGCCAGGGATCTGGCGAAGCCGGAGCACCCCTTCAACAAGAAGCGCCGGATCCTCCGCTGGTCCAAGAACTTCTCCCTCCTCTCCACCGCCAAGTCCATGCCCCTCTTCCCCCTCAGCGAAGAGGACGACGACGACGACGTAGACGACGCCGACGCGTCGCCCGATCACCGCGACGGGGACGCCGACGCCGACGGCGGGAGGGGCAAGTCCGCCGCCGCCGCCGCCGCCGCGAGCAGGTTCTCGGGGGGCCGCCGTGGGACGAAGCACAGCGTGTTCAAGTCCTCGAGCTGCTTCGCGCTGTCAGATCTGCACGAGGAGGACGAGGAAGAGGCCGCCGACGACGAGGACAACGACGACGAGGAGCAAGGCGGAGGAAATTGATTTTTCTCTTCTTCTTTTTTTAATTTTAATTTTATGTGTTTTTTTTTTTGGGACGTTTAACCTAACTTTATGTTCCTAATCATCGATATTAAAAATAAATAGATGAAAAATTATCCTCTTCAGTTTACATGGGGACACGGTCTTACTTTGGACAAGGAAGGATTTGGATGAGGATAATAAATTTAACGAAATGAAATTAAGTTAATTAGGATTAGTGTCTTGGAAGACACTGATCGAGCGTATTTTATTGCAGATATTTATATTATTTTATGACTAATGTTGTCGGAATTGTGGATTATTTTTCATTATTTATTAGGGAATTTATTATTATTATTATTATTGTTGTTGTGTGATAAATTAATGGGGGGAGTAGTCGTCGTATTCGGATAATGGGTGCATGTGTAAGGAACTGGCTGATGGATTTTGATAGGCCAAGTGGGTGGTGGTGGTGGTGGTCGCGCTGGTGCTTGCGGCGATTTGACGAGTTTGACCTCGGCGCGAGTGGCTGCATGGTGCATGGTGTGTGAACTGACCAGGGTCGATCTCGTCTTTTCAGCTTTGGTGCACTATATCCACCATATAATATATAGGGCGAATACAAAAAGAAAATAAAGGGAAAAGCGCCGACCTAATGAAAATAGGGTTAATATCACGAAAAATTTTAAACTAGTACACCTGTGATAAATTTATCTAAATTGATTTTTTTACCACAAAAAATTTCAAATTGATATACCTGTGATAAATTTACTAAAAATTAATTTTTTGATAATAAAAAATCTCAAATCGATATACTTGTGGCAAATTTAAATTGGATTATACCACGAAAAATCATAAATTGATAAATCCATGACAAACGGATAGGGGTAAAACCTTAAATTGGTACATTCGTCAACTGCCACGTGTCATCAAACTCAACAATTTGACGAGTAAAATTTAACGGAAACTAATTAAGGGTAAATTTATAACGGGTGTAATAGTTTGGGATTTTTGGTGATCAAAAAATTAGTTTAGGGTAAATTTGTTACTTGTGCACCAGTTTTGGATTTTTCTTGGTATTAACCCTAACATATCTCGAATTATGTCCACTGTAACACAAATACCTCAAGTTAGTTTTTTTTTTGTATCACATAAAACTCTAAACTTGGCCGCTATGAGACAAATGCCCCAACTTTTTTTTTTTTGTATCATGAAAAAATCCAAACTTATACATGTGTGGCATATATATCTTTTATTTCAGTTCTATTTAGAGTATATTTATCCCATTGGTATAAGTTTGGGATTTTTTATAATACAAAAAAATTTGGTGTATTTTCATGTGTTTTTTTTAAAGGTAATGCGGAGACGGCATCTTTTTCGTGGCTTAGGAAGTTGTCGTGCCTCGATTGACATCTCTCTCTATCCTCCCCTTTTTTCCAAGAATGCGAAATGGAATTGACTACATAACGTTCGATTTTTTCTTCCTCGGACAAGATAATGGTCGCATCGTCTTTTCGTGGGAAATATAATGGGAAAGCATCGAGGGGGAGTGGTAGAATTCGGGACAAATTGGGGGGGATCGATGAGAACCTCTGAACCATTCTTTTTGATGGTTGTTGTTTTGGGTGGTGGTGGGAAGAGGACAAAGTCGAAGGAGGGGGGGCGTTTTGGAGGTTTGATATGTGTTCTTTTGACTTGACCCTCGAAAAGCAAACCACATCGTGCGATCGAGAGGCGTTTTATTCGAGGGAGAGGAGTTTACATGGCCTACGGAAGTGTGGCTAAGAATGTCTCGTGAATGTCTCGTGAGTGCCCGTGGTTCGATCGGTGGGGCCTTTCTTCGGTAAGGGCCGAAGAATGTCTCGTGAGTGAGATGTGCTGGCGAGTTTTAACTCGAGTTATCTTTTTAATGATTACCCGGTGTTGAAGTATTGTTCCACGTCGCTGGATAACAAGATTTAAATGCTCTTTATATTTTTGTGGTCTCTCTTCACTTAATAATTTAAACTTTTGAGTTGGACTTTCTAACACTCGAAATGAGATGTTGAATTTTTTTTTATCATGCGTCCCACGTTTGTCTTCCACAGCTAGGCTTGAGTGCTCTAGTATATAAGTAGGTGGCCTTGGACCGTGAGGATTATTAGAGCGTGGAATTAACTTGCATGTCATTGCGCCGGAATTGAATAAACGATGAAATATCTTTTGAATGTATCCAAAAGGATGTTCCATTAGAATTGAATCGACGGTGAAATCCTTTTCGAATATATATGGGTCGATGTGCAATTCGACAAAGGTTGTGAAGGACCTTTTGTTGATTTTCGGATGGGAAAGTAAATGACAAGGAATTTAAGGGTATGAAAATTGGAAGCAATTGCGGCTGGCCATTTAAATTGCTGAAAGATAAATTGCGGGATAGTAAAGATAAAGCAAAATTTGCATAGAATATCGAGTTCCGTTATAGTGATTGGGGTTTACAAAGTGTACGGTTATGTAAAGGTTACAAACGGTTGTTAAAGTTAAAAAGATAACTTTCTAATCCTACTTTCAAAACAAATAACTTCCTTGTCCTATTTGCGGTTATAAGAAGCAACAACAACAATTATCCACATGAAGTTACAAAAATTATAAAATAACAGCACTAAACATAACCACCCAACAATTCTACTAACTAATAACACTTATTTAAAATAAGTTACATATTCGAAAATATTGGTACTTGACATTATATGTTGATGTCGATGACTTTATCCATTGATAACTATTGTTTGTTGTTGGTAACTTCCTTGACAAGTTGTCTATACTCTTCAAGTTGTCGATTGTTCTTTTCATCAACGACTTTTGTTATTCACCAAATTATGCTATTATCGACTAGGTGTGTCACTTATCGATTATAATAAAAAAAAATTGATCTTTTTGGTTGTCAAAATATGCCCCTTTTTAAAAAAAATTGAATAATTCGTTGTTCATTTGATCATTTTAAATTAGATAATCAATGGTCATCGTATGCCCCATTGTCATCAGCATATTCAAAATTTTTTTTGCCAAATTTTATCTTGGCTAGATTCATCATCCGACTCATATTTTTCCATTAAAGCCACATTTTGTGGAAAGTCTTCACGTGGCTCTTTGTCTCTGTTTTTAAGTAGTTGCTCATACTTAGACATTCTCATTGCTAATCGAAATAGATTAGCAAAATCATAGCCTTCAAATCTTTCTCTAAGATCAAATTCGTGAAACCTTTTTCTAAGAAAGAAGTAAGACATCTATTTTTAACCTTTTTGAATTGAGCAATAAACTAATCGACCGACTCATTACTATATTCATTAAGTTTGTTCAAACCAGCAATCGATACCAAAAGTATCGTTCTATAAAATTGATAATAAAATTGTCTTTTCATCTCAGCCCGGTTTCTAACATAATGGGGTGGTAAGTTAGTATACCAAGTAAAATCACTTTTTGACAAAGACAGAGAAATAGTTGAAGTCTTAAAAACTGGTTTCTCTGTTTCCCCACACTAGGCTATAAATCGAACAATGTGTTCGATAGTCGATTGTTCATATTCGCCGGTAAAAATGGCAAAATCAGGGGTTTTGAAGCCTCTGGTACCAAGACAACTATTTGGTGAGAAAAAAAACGGGTAAATCATTTTGAAATTAGAATATAAACGGAAAGAATTCTTCCAAAATCATCTTCAACATAAAATATGAACAATAATATACGTCAAGATTAAATAAGAAAATAACAATACTTACAAACTCCACTTTTGAGGACAAATACAAAACTAAAAATGGAAAGGGGAATGTAATTTGAGATGACAAAATAAGCATGAGAAGATATTCGCTCTCATAAAATCAATAACATAGATATTATACTCATATAAATATTAGGGAGAATGTAAATAATCATTCGGATTTTTCGCCTCAATTCCATTTTGATTTTGCATCCGACTTTTCTACAAGAACCACAATGCATTTCGCAACAAAACTCCATATGGAAAACGACTAAATTATCCATTTTTAGAGGGTAATTTAGCAATTACGAGTCTATTTCGAGACGAAAAATCCAACTTTCTAAATACAACTTGAATAAACAAAGGAGATACCATGCTTCCATGGACTTAATTAGCAAATTTACTAATATTTTAAAATATTACTGTAATATGTCCAGAAGACAAAGCTAAAACTTATTCATCAATTCGAACATAAAACTTTAGTAATTAATAGAGAAAATGAGGAAAGAGTAGTTTGAATTTCATAAATACAACTTCAATTATGTGAAAAAGTTTGGGTTGGACTAGTTTGTCGGCATCGAAGCTCGCGAAAGAAAGGACACGCGTCACACTCTCGCTATACTTCGATTGACTAGCTCATCATCTTTGCTTAATCTTAATTAAAGACTCTTTCTCTTGACTTTCTCTATAAACAACAAGGCATGGACATACGTAAGGGCTAAGGAAGTTGTTGTCTTCCTTAAAGTATCTTTTGAGCTGCAAGATGGCAAGCGATTCTTCATGGATCGGAGTGGATTAAGTAACTCTTTGGTCTTTGACCCTTGTGTCATTAGCATCCAATGAATATCTGCGCTGTTCCGAGGGAGATTTCCCGGCATGGCGGCTCTCGTCACCGCTGATGTTGTTGGTTGTAACTATGCTTAGGATAAGAACCTCCCCTCGACTCCCGTGAGAGTTTCCGAGCCTGCTCCCCTTACGTGTGATGGGAGGTGAGACCGTTCGAGGCAACGATGATTGGCCGGGCAGTCAAGCTTTCGTGGAGATGGGTTAAGAGAGATCGAGCTCATAATCTTCGCGAAGGTCAAACGGGAGAAGTTGTTACGAAAGGAGGTCGAGCTTTCACGATGATTTGTGTAGTCATCCACTGCCAAATCTTACTATGAGAGTTTCCGAGCCTGCTCCCCTTATGTGTGATGGGAGGTGAGGCTGTTCAAGGCAATGATAATTGGCAGGGCACGGGCAGTCAAGCTTTCGTGGAGACGGCTTAAGAGAGATTGAGAGTTCTATTCTTCGCGAAAGTCATACCTGGGAAGTTTGTTACGAAAAGAGGTTGAGCTTTCGCGATGATCCCGTGGTCATCTGACCGGCTATTGAAAGAAAAGCTTTGCATTTGCTCCTCCAACCAACCCATTACTTTACTAATATATCATTAGCGACGATGGCTCTTCCGTGTGATGATTGCAAAAAAAGTCCTGAACCTATTGTAAGATGCCAATTTAGTTATGAACCTTTTAATTTAGCCAATTTTAGTCCAAAACCTTTTGACGATTCGTCAATGTAGTCATTCTGGCTAATTTTGGCCAGAAATTATTGACGTAGACATGGACGCAGGCGTCCTACGTGATACAACCAGCGCTGATGGGGATAATTTTTTATTTTTTTCCCTTTTTCTTTTCTTTCCTTTTTTTCTTTTTTTTCTCCTTCTTCCTTGGCCAATCGCCAAGCCTTGAGGATGGCCGGCGGCCGGTCACATACGATGGTCAAAATTCAAAAAATTATCAATGTCAGCGATAATCATGCCAAATAGGACGACCAGCATCTACGTCAGTGATTTCCAACCAAAATTGGTAGAAATAATTACATTGGCAGATCCTCAAAAGGTTTAGAATTAAATTAGCCAAAGTGAAAGGTTTAGAACTCAATTGGTGTCCGTATAATAGGTTTACGATTTTTTTTGGTAATTTCACCGCTCTTGTATAGTAAATTTTCTCCATCGACAGTGTTTGCAATCATAAAACCTAAATCCGACAATATTCTATCTAAAGTATGAGCCCCCGAGACAATAATTAAATTGTGTGAGATGACAGATGCATGCACAAGGCACGACCATTCAACATCACTTATGAGGATTTTGTAATTGCTTTCCAATTGTCTCAAAAGTAATTCAGCTCACGGTTCTTCGATCCACTAAGGTCATGTCATCGGATAAAGTTCGTAATTACATAAAGGGCCATGTTTGCTCCAACGCAAACTCCCTCCACTAATGTCTTTGGTTGGTAGGTTTACTGTATAGCCATTACTCTTATCTAATTTTAGTTAAATCTACAAATAAGTGGTGTCCAAAACTTATAACCCACCAATCAAATGCATGGTCGGAGAGAGTTTCAAAACGAATCATTTCGTGATGGCATTAGGTCGATTAGTTGAGTAAGGCATGATTAATTTTTTTGTTCTATTTTACAGGAATGGACTATATATAAAAACATTTTGGGTCAAAACTCGGATTTGTTTCCCATTCTAGTCAATCTAATCGATCCGTCCAATTTAGTTTTCGAAACTTCAAAACTATGTAAAGCCTCACCTTCCTCGTATCCTCGTAATAACTATTCGCCTCTTTTGAAGTTCTCTTCAATGTTCTGCACATGCAACGATGGAACGGATTCACTAATCCACATCCCGAGATTTGCCTATATAAAACAGGTTTCCTCTTCGTAGATGAGTCATTGACCTGCGCATCAAACCGAGCGATTCTGTAGTCGGGCCGAGCCGGACGGGTCATAAACTTATATTCGAAAGCCGATAGGACCCGAAAAGCAAAAAGATCCACGGATAACAAGCCGGGTCGTCCGCCGTTCATCTTGCTTTCTTGGGACAGAATGTGAGAGAAATGTGAGAGAGAGCCTGACCCCAATGGTTCCGGATCAGTACTTGCTCCAACTAAGCCCAATGCTCTCATAAATTCGCTTTCATGTTAAGTTGGGCCCGAGCGCGAAGGACTAAGTAGCTTTGCAGGAGAACAAGGATAAATGGAGGGAATGAGCAGGTGAAGAAGAAGACACAAGTGACTCTGATAGAAAGAAGAGTCCGAGATCCAAATAGAAACCCGCGTCAACCCGATTGAATTGACTGGTCTAGGGGTGATCGGTTCTTGAAATGGGCTGGTTCCACCCTAGAATTGGGAACCGAATAAGACCGGACCGAACCGGACCAATCGTCCCTATTCGGTTGTTGGATTAGATCAATTCGATTAAGGGTTTTGGCGATTTCCTTTTCCTCATTCTTCAAAATTTTTTTTTAAAAAAACATTATTGGCGTGTCCACGCGGCTCGGTTCCGCATCTGGAACTAGGAACCAGATTCACTACTCATGATTCCAAAAATTTGCAATCGAGAACCGCTCGGAACCAAACCAGCCTGATTCAACCGTCAGTCCAATTCCCGTGCAGACTCCTAGACCGGACGATCAATACGCACTCAAAAGAGTTAAAAAGTCCAGATTGGACAGATTTAAAAGCTGAAGATCAGAATCGAAATGCAGCAGCATGTCAAGCTACTCATGGAATAACCCATCTGATCGATTCACCGTACAACACGTTTTACAGGAAAGCTTTTCCTCGCTAGGGTTCACATCTTCTCAATTCCAACACTCTCAAAAAACGAAAAACCCTAACGAATCGCATCCGTATAACCATAGACTCCGTCTCTAATTTCAAGAAACCAAAACCCTAGAAATTCTGTACACGATCATCAGCAGCTACTAACAAGAAAGAAGATGCTTAGAACCCAAAAACGCGGTCGCCAGACGGGGAGAACCGATCGCGAAGCTCAGTACTGGGTGACGAGCCGGCGGGCGCAGACGGAGCAGTAGAACTTGCGCTTGGTGCGGAAGTAGAAAGGGAGGAAGCAGAACCGCCACTGGCTCTCCACGTCCATCGCCTGCACCGCCCCGCCGCAGTAGGGGCACGCCCCCGGCGCCGCCTGCCGCGCCACCACCCGCTCGTCCTCGTCGCACACGAACACCAGGCACATCTCCGGGCCGGTCCTTCCTTCTCAGCTCCTGCGCCTGCTCCTGCTCCTGCTCCTGGGGTTTCACGAGGAACGGTTCGTTCTTCGCTTTCTTTCGGCTCTTGTTGATGTGGGGAATATGACTTTCTTGTTTTCTTGCTTTCTTGGGGTCGCGGTGGCTTGAAATTTATACATGGGATGGGAGAAAATCCAGATGATGCTAGAATGGACAGAGGCGGAAATGGAATGTACCGTCAAAAGGAGCGCGTGTGTAGAAGGTTCCGCCGCCGCGTTGGGGGAAACTTTCCGGGTCTTGTCCGTCCCACGCGCTTCCCTCTTAGATTGTTTTCGTCTTATGTGCCGCCCGTCTCGTTTTTGGACTTGTCAAATAGTCGGGTCACGTCGGGCCGAAAAATAATCCGATCCAAAAATTGACCCATTTTAGGCTTCGTTCGTTTGGTAGAAAATATTCTCTTTTTGAAAAATATTTTATCGGAAGTCATTTTTCTGGAAAATATTTTCCCGAAACATAATTTTCCGGTGTTCGGCGATCAATATGAAAAAGTTTCGGAAAATATTTTTCGCCGGCGGCGGCGGCCGGCGACCTTAGTGAAAAAGAAGAAGAAGAAACTCCGGAAAATGATTTCCGCTTTTGAAGAAGCGAAAGTCATTTTCCATAGACTTAGGCTATTTTGTGAGGGGGGAAGGAAAATATTTTCTCACGGAAAACGTTTTTCGCCCCCCGAACACCGGAAAACCCGGAAAATATTTTCCGGGAGAATATTTTCCGCCAAACGAACGAAGCCTTAATGAAGTATAAATTCAGTGATTCATACCTAACTCGATTTATATTGTTAAAGATTAATATCACTAAAAATTTAAAATTATGCTATTTGTGACACATTTATCTCAAATTTTTTTTGACACTAAAAACCTCCAAACTATGCTCATTGTGATGCATTTATCCCAAATTTTTTTTTTTGATATCAAAAATTCTAAATTATGCACTTTGTGACATATCTATCTTCGGTTACAATTTCGTCCAAAATTATTGTTCATCGCACTGTTCATCGTCTCCTCCAAGGAAAAAATTGCACTGCTCATAGTTTTCGAAGTTGCTGTTGATCACCTTCTCGCTCGGCCGAAGTTCTTTCGGAGCTCATCCGTCGTTGCCCATCGCCACCTGGACCTCCGGGAGCATCGTCGTAGTTGCCAACCATGGCAGCCGCTCGAGCTCGAAGCCTGGCCACGGCCGCTCCGCTCGTGCTCGAAGCTCGGACTGAGAACGAAAAGAAGGGGACCCTCTGTTTCCACTATCACCCGAGCCACCGACAAGGACAAGTTTCTTCAGCCACCCACGTGATAATGAACCCACATTCAGCACGTAAAGGAAGGAGAGGTCCAAACATAACAGAGTTCACGAAAAGAAGCATTGACGTATGTACTCGCCGAGTTTCTTTACATGTTGCGAGCACTACAAACTTTTAGATCCTTTGAAACTTTAGACAACAACGAGCCTGTAGCATCACTGCCAAAGTTTTTTCACTCACTTCCTCTTCTTAATTTTCTCGTCAACCAAAGAGATTAGCCTCGCAAGCCAAAAGCCAGTGATATGCAGCCATACAGCGACGAAACATAGTACCAAAAATAGAAAGAAACGAGGAGAAGAAGAACGGAACTTCAGATCTATGCCAGCAGCCTCAGCTCTTTGAGCTCGAGCGGCTGCCATGGCCAAGCTTCGAGCAAGAGCGGAGCAGCCATGGCCAAGCTTCGAGCTTGAGCGGCTGCCATGGTCGTCAATTACGACAAAGCTCCCGGAGGTCCAGGCAATGGGCATCAACGGACGAGCTTCGGCCGAGCAAGAAGGCGATGAATAGTAACTTCGAAGATGATGAACAGTGCAATTTTTCTCTTGGAGAAGACGATGAATAGTGATTTTGGACTGAATTGTAACGGAGGGTAGATATGTCATAAAGTGTATAGTTTGAGGTTTTTGATGTCACAAAAAAAGTTTAGGATAAATGTATCACAATTGGCATAATTTGAGGATTTTTGGCGTTACAAAAAAAGTTCGAGATAAATGTGTCATAAGTGGCATAGTTTGGAGTTTTTTGTGGTATTAATCCTATTGCTAAAACACTTTTATGCTCATATCTAAACTAAGGCGAAAGTACGGAGTAAGTGATGGCAAAAGATGGTGAAAAGAAAGCCATAGAGGTAGGTTAGGTCTATGCAAATTGTAAACCCATTTGACAATTCATTTGATATCTATATTAAACCTATTTACTCGATATAACTGATCCATATAATAACACACTTAACTTATCAAATGTGACTTAAGAAATGAGTTTATGACCTATTTTGACAGGTCTAATCTCGTTTAATGGTCTGAGGTAGGGCTTGCTTGACCCTCACGAGACTACGCTGTGAATCGTGTCATTTTAAAAGGGTCGAGATTTGACTATTTCATGCCCAAGATAAATCCCAGTTGACCTTTTTCTTATCCGTTTTTATCATCGACAAATTAATAATGCCTTCCGCATGCAAATATTCCACACCTACAAAGATAAATTCTTTACCAAATCAATTGATAGAATAATAATGCATTGATTAGTAATAACCTCGAACCTAGTTTGGCAATTTTGCGTTTTTTCCCCTTTTGTAACTATTTTATTCATATCGATTCATCCATTTCGACAAGAAACCTGGCCGCCCATGATAAAGGTCCTAACTCGAAAACAACGTGTCCAAGTTTCAAAAGCAGATAAAAACTTGATTTTTCAAAGGTTTTCTCAAGCGTGCCGGCTCTAAAAAGCAAAACGAAGTGCTTGGAATTGACAATGACGAAGAAATTACAATCCTAGACGTGAAATTAGCAGAAAAAAATAAACACGACAAAACTGAATTGAACGACTAAATTTCAGTTGCTGGAAAAGTCAAAATGTTGACAAAACTCTCGATTGTGAAAAACCCAAAAGAAAACACGAAATTCATATTCACGAGACCCGTTGTGCACCGAAGACTCGACCTTTAAACACGGACCGAGGAAAAGCCTTGTTATATCTTTAGCCAAATTATCTCACTTCATCGTTTTCCTATGGCTTAAAAATGAACTTCGCTATCTTCTCCCTAGCACCGAGAACACCCAGAAAACCATAAGAGGATCAACACAGTAGATGTGAGTATATTCACTTCACCATCAATCCCCGTGTATTCATTACAACGAGGGCGATTCAAACCAGACTTGGACTCTTCAAGCCTTCTCGGCCGGAGGCAGGGCCAAACAGGGGCAACATGGGAGTTAGGGCTGTCAAAAAAGCCCGGACCGACTCGAACCGGCCCGGTCCGAAAATTTAGGGCTTCTTCGGGTCGGGTCTCCTCTGGTTCGGGTGTAGTATTCCTTGTACAAGGACCGATTCAGAATCTTTTCGCAATAATTTCTTGGAGTAGATGCACTTAATTTGAATATCTGTTATAAACATCCATTTAACTTGCCTGATGCGTAAATCAAATGTTTGAAGGGTAATGATTTTCCCTGTGAAAATTAAGAACATCGGTCTAGACTCATACTCTGTAGTTATGGGAAGCCTAGCTCATTGTTATGTTCTGTCACCTCTTCTCCTGAAGTTGGAAGGAGAGTTTTACAGAAAACGTTGAAATGTGCAAAATGCTAGTGTTTCCTGTTTACTGTTTCTTTGTCATAATGTGCAAATTGCTACTAAGTTCTTAGAAAGGAAAATCTATGAGGGCTTTAAAGTGGTTTATGTATTTATGTGGTGATTAAGGATGGTTGTTTAGAGAGGGAGAAGAATAGTGGAGAAAGTGATGAATTATTTGGGGTACTTCTGGTAAGTTATGTCAAATTTTAATTTTCCTATGTTATAGATGCATTGCGACATGCAACCTATTTTGTATTTTCTTTTTCAGGCGACTACACACGAAGTGAATGAATATATTGTTCAATATGTACAGTGCAACTCTAATTACAAACAAATTCATGCATGTATATTGTTAATTTTCATTAACATGGACTTTTTAACTGTAGATTACTTAATATTCTTGCATGTGATTGTTTCTTCTGGGTACTTGAGTGACTGTAGCTGCTTGCTTCCTGTTGGATTTGGGTGCAGGTATCTTGCAATTGTGTGGCCAGATTTTCCTTATTTTTCTATCCATAAAGTTGGTGATTGGTCTAGCGTTGACTCCGGCATTGCAAGACTTCTGGCATGGGATACTTGTCGCAATAGATTTGCCATATTAGAATCTGCACCTGCCCCAAGAATTCCCGTAGTTCCTAAAGGTGGTTCCTCAAGCAAAGCAAATGCATCTGCTGCTTCTACAACAAAATGATTTTGAGTTATCTTTGAGTGTGGTCTATTGAAATTTGAGCACTTTTTGGACACTTTTGTGTGATGAATGTGGCAAGAGAGCATGTGGAACTGAGAGTCTCTTTCCAGATATAATGACCAAGTTTGCTTCACGTAGCTGCAGCAGATATAGTTGTTTAGCTATCTAGTGTGCTTTCTTGTGCATGCCATTTAATTTTTTTTTTCTCATTGCAAGTCTTTGACTTTGGGGAAATGCAATATAATAAGAATGAAAATGGGGAAATTCGAAGTGATTCTGTGGCTATTCGGGTTCATACTCACTTTTGTAGTTTGTACTGGTTTATAGGTAAAAAAACAAAAAACCCGAAAGCCCGACCTGGACCACCCCGACCCGAATTTTCGCTCCATATGCTTTGGGTCGGGTCAGAGATAGCATGTGACCCATACGCTTCAGGTTGGGTCAGGTATAATAGAAACCCGGCCCGACCTGACCCATTGACACCCCTTGGGAGTAGCTATCGACAATGGTTTGCAATGAGGTACAACGACGATTGGTGCGGGAGATCACTAAAGCTGAGAACGTGGTGAAGCTTGTTGGTGGTTGCCTGATTAGCTTGTTAGGAATCCTACTGGACTGAGGATTGGGCATGTCTCAAACCAAAGCTGAGTCGGCAATGAGACTTTGGGCACGGCATGGGCTATAAAGCGTGGCCAAGAGATTTACGGTGATAGAGGTGCCTAGATTTGCGCAAGAGATTCGCCTAGGTTTAACTGGAATTGCTGGCGAGACTTATGGTTGTAGACATTTGGCGAACACGAATGATTGTCGATGAAGGTGGAGGATATTAGTGCTCAT